CCCCAATTGGGAGTCCCCTGTTCGGTTTTTGGGGGTCCTCACTCCAAGAAAGACGTTGGGGTGCCGGAGCGCGTTCAGATGTTGTGGTTTGGAGGAAGCCCGCAACAATTTGTGGTGGTTTCGGCAATTATTCTCTCACCCCCATCGAACTCCCCCCCCCCCACACCCTGGGGAAGGGGAATCAGGGGGAAAAGCCAAGGAAGCAGGGGGGTTAAAACACAAAATAAATAGGATGGAGGAAGAGATAGAAAGAGAATAAGGCTAAATATTTAACATTAATAATACAAAGGGACCAATATTGATGCTCATCCCAACATAAAATATAATATAATATAATTCTCAGCCCGTTCTACCCATCGGGAGCTCTGCGCTCCCGGCAGCGGACAGCAAATGTGGGACACCGCGAGCGCTGTGGTTTCGGGAGGAAGGGAAGGGCTCAGGGCTCCGGCACTGGGGCAAGGAGTCCTCCGGACGGCAGCCGTCAAGAGAGAGACTGAACTTTGCAGCAAACTTTCTAATTTATATTGAATGTGACGTTCCACCCTGTTGGCCAGCCTAGGTCAAGCTCCCAGGACTCGCTTCTCATCCCCACACCTGGTGAGCTCGAACACACCGAGACCTTGAAACCCGCACACCACAGCTGGCGAGAAAGTACATATTTTCACAAATTCAGACACCAGAATCTTCTAAAAATGCAGTTTTCCCCTAGCATTAGAAGTTAGTCCTGTGTCACTCAAAGCGGGACACCAGAGGAGGGTGACGAAGCTGGTGAGGGGTCTGGAGAACGAGTCTTCTGAGGAGCGGCTGAGGGAACTGGGGGTGTTCAGCCTGGAGAAAAGGAGGCTGAGGGGAGACCTTATCACTCTCTACAGCTCCCTGAAAGGAGGGTGTAGTGAGGTGGGGGTTGGTCTCCTCTCCCAAGTAACAGGCAATAGGACAAGAGGAAATGACCTCAAGTGGTGCCAGTGGAGATTTAAATTGGTTATTGGGAAAAATTTCTTCACAGAAAGGTTTGTCAAGCATTGGAACAGGCTGCCCAGGGAAGCGGTGGGGTCACCATCCCTGGAGGTATTTAAAAGATGTGTAGATGTGGTGCTGAAGGACATGGTTTAGTGGTGGTTTTGGCAATGGGAGGTTGATGGTTGTACTCAATGATCTTAAAGGTGCCTTCTAACCTAGAGGATTCTATGATTCTCTTGCTGTGTCCTGGACACCTCCAAGGACGGTGATCCCACAGCTTCTCCAAGCAGCCTGCCCCTGGATTCAGCTTGTCCCAGTCTATGGAATCTGATCATCTTTGTGGCCTCCTCTGAACATGCTCCAACAGGTCCTTGCCTTTCCTGTACTAACCAGTCCCAATATTTAGCCTTTTCCAGTATTTGACCTGTCACGGTATTTAGCCTGTTCCAGATTAAATTTTATATTTAATAATCCACCTGGAAAATGTTTTTTTTTTTCCCTTAGTACCTCATCAGGATTTCCCATGTCTCAATGGAGCGCCGCTGACTCTCCTGCTGTCAGTGTACAGCTTCGAGAAGGTTCTGGCTCCGTTGTCTCTGTACCCCCTGCTCAGGTAGGTGTCGGCAGAGATCAGGTCTTGCCTTTGCCCTCTCCGAGCACTCTCTGCACCCTGTGCTCCGGTCCCTGCCCTGCTCAGTGGCCTCCGTTGGACTGGCTCCAGTATCAATACTCTTCTTGCAGCATGGAGCCCAAACCCGGGCACCCAACTCCAGGCATGGTCTTGGAAGGGCCAAACCGAGGGGAAGGATCACGTCCCTCCACCTGCCGGTTACGCTCTTGCTAAGGCAGCCCAGGATGCTGTTGGCATTCTTTGCTGCAAGGGCGCGTTGCTGACTCATGATCAGCTTCTTGGCCCCCAGATCCTCTCCTGTGGAGCTTTGAAATTATTCAGCTGGCTACTCGGGCTCTTGAGACCCATCACGATCTTTACAGAGGCTACTTGGGCTCTTGAGACCCATCACGATCTTTACAGAGCGCGCAGCGAGCTGCCTTTCCTGCATGGGTATCCCTCTCTGAGGAGATTCCCGGGTGCGATCCCCAAATGACACAGGGAATATAGAAGCCTAATGTCAAAACATGACATCTATCTTTTCCGTACACTACCAGCTTCAGCTTGAGGGATTCTGAAGGACTCTCATGTCTTTATCCTTGAGAAACTGACTCAGCTGTGTATTTCATCCATGTATATGTATACATATATATGTATGAAATTCAGCACACTTAATGGTGCGACACCCTTGTCTGACAGGTTTTATGTTGATTTTTCCTGACTAACTAGGCTAACAAAAGACCAGTTGGGAAGTATAAATTAGTCAATGTTATCAGCTCCTTCTGGGTAGTGAAACCCAACCAGGATGTTAGCAGAGTGAAGTAAGAACCCCCAGGAGATACAAGAGTGCTTTACTGCCTTCAGAGCACGCTCTGATTCACCATTAATTGACAGGAGCCTCAGTTAGACAAGACAGGAACACAACAATGGCAACATAAACACAGATCCATAAGCTTGCAGTGTAGATTCCACACCAAGTGATGACGTGAGCTGGGGCAGAAAATGATTGCTGAATTGCCCAACAGCAACTTCAAGGCACGGGAGATCCAGACACCCTTCCCTGAGCTCCTCGTTGTGCTTGGGAAGGTGTAGGTGGCCCATGACCACATCTGTGCACTGCTCAGGATCTCTGCTCTGAAAATTACAGGGCAGAGCTCTGCTTTTCCTGGCCCTTCCTGGGGAGTTCCCACAGTTTGGGGCGCAGCTGGTAGCTCTTCCAGTCACTGGAATAACTTGAGGTATCTCTTTCCGATTTTATACCCCATGTCCTTGACATTTAAACTTCGTGGCTGAGCCTAAGCCCAGTTGCTGAGTAGTTGAGTAGACATCTTCAATATAGACATCTTTATTATGGCCTTTTCCGCAGTTTTAGTCTGGCCAAAACACTTATTTTCACATTTAGCAGAGTGGCCTAGACCTTTTAGCATTTATTTATATTTGGCCCTGAGAGGGTTGGGCTCAGATCCAGGAAGGTACTTAGGATCTTACTTGATTTCAGTAGGATATAGATTCTTTACATATTTATAAATGGTGCTTTCGTTCTCATTTAAGGGGATTCTGAAATTGCTGATATGTTAATACCTGTGTATGTTCTGAAGTCTATCTCCTACTCTCCCAAAACAGGTTGGTAACTGACGACGGGTATTTTTGACATTCTTACGAGGTTTCTGGTTATCTGCCCTCAGTGTCATGCTGTGCCTAGACTCCCAGCACGCAGCAAAGCGTCTGCTTCTGGGGCATTTCTTGCATGTAAAGAACCCTACGGTACAAGACCACGATGGTAATGTAATTAACTGTCAGGAGTATTGTTCTCTGTGCCAGTTACAATTCTTCTATTTGCTTCCAGTTGGCATGGCCTTCTCTGGGTCCCCTTGTGCTGTTTCTGGTCCGATGGGTCTTGTTCCTGACAATTTGGGGACGTTCCTATTTCTCTACGTGAGTTTCCATCATGGGATCCCTTCAAAATCACTTCTGCAAAGCGGCTGTTTTTTTCTTTCCATCCATTCTTTACAGAGGCTCAGAGGCCTATTTTAGTGGTTGCTTTTGGAAGCCGGCGCTCAGGGTTGTCCTCCAGGGCAGGACAATCTGGGAATCTTCCCCGGTATTTAATTGATTTCCTGATCTGTCTCAATGAGCCTATTTCAGGTACGTTCATCTCTCCAAATCCACAGCTCTTATGAAATTACACAGTATTTCACCCTTCTCGTTTAAATAAATGAAATCGCGTCTGCTCAAAGAATACATTGCATCATGGCATGAAATATTGATCTCAACCACAGTGAAC